ATTTGTTCCTAATATGATATTGTGTACTTAGTCATTTTTATAATTTTTTAAAAATTGAATAAGACTTTCGGACAAAGTTGTATGTTTCGACTCGCGCAATCCCTATGCAGATACACGTGTCACATAAGTGTATCTTTCTTCACTCGTCAGCTACTTAGAGCCCAGCCATCACGACTTGCAAGCTCTTGGAACAAGATGAACTTATTTCTTAACATTTGTACATTACTCATTAGTCATTAAGGTTAGCGTAGTAGAAGCCTATAAGGTTCTAGTGGGTTTGAAAATTTGAACATTTATTTTTGTATTTTTGTATTTGTAACCAACTTAAGTATGTAGTATTAATTTTGGGTTTCAAAATTGTAATGAATTTTTACAATATATTAGAATTAAAAGTAATTTTTGAGTATGGAGTCGGTACGGTATTATACCGGTATACCGCGATATTTGAAAACATTTACCGTTGCCGTACCGAAATAGATCGGTACGGTATCATACCGTACCGAAAATGACGGTATACCAATATTTCGGTACTTTCCGGTATTTTTCGGTACGGTAAGTACGGTATACCGATTTTTCGGTATTTTTGCCCACCCCTAATGAAAGCCATATTGCTTTAAAGTGGTAGTAAGTTTAGAAAACCAACACTGGGCGCCTGATGAAGTCCATAAAGTGAGTGTTGCAAACGGCACACCTGACCGGAAGAATAAGAAAAACCAGGTGGGGAATACATATATACTTCTTCATGCAAGTCCCCATGCAAGAAAGCATTATCTACATCCATCTGATGTAATTCCCCGTGCCGAGATGCCGCAACTGCAAGTATCGTACGTATCGTGACCATTCTAACCACTGGTGCGAACGTCTCATGATAATCGATGCCTTTAGTTTGTTGATTGCCGCATATGACAAGACGAGCCTTGTACCGTTCTATGGAGCCATCATTCTTATATGTGATCTTAAACACCCATTTGCAATGAATAGCTTTCTTGTCAATGGGTAATTTTTGAACGGTCCACGTCCCGTTTTTCTCTGGAGCATCAATTTCTCGTTTCATGGCCTCCCTCCATCTCGTTTCATGTGTCGAAATTGCTGCTAGAAACGCCCTATGCTGCACTGAAACACGATTATAATTGATATAACAAGATAATGAATATGGACTACATGGGGTGACCAACGGAGTAGGGTCAGCCTGAGGGGGGCTGTATCCATAATGTTAAGCCGAACAAAATCGTCATGCCAAGATGGTGCATGACGTTGTCAAGTACTACAACGTAAAACTGGCCCTTGAGTTATAACAGGTGTATCCGTGGAACCCACTTGTACCTGTGCATCCTGTATGACATCCGTCACATGTGTGGCCTCATGAGTTCATGTGTCGTTCATAAGTGTTGCCGTAGGAAATGACTCAGACGGTGATGGCAACTTGTCACGCAGGGCATCATCATCATCATCATGTATATATATGGCACATTGGTTGGAAGATTATTTTCTTCAACATGTGGGCTTATATCTTTTTTTTCCGAGAACCACCCTTTCGGGTGTGGTAAATGTCGGGTAACATTTACCATTTTTTTTATTAAAATAAGTGTAACGGTACAACATGTGGGCTTATATCTTTAAAAGGAAAATGGTCTTCAATAAAGCGAACATCTCTGGACACAAAACACGTCGATGTTCTAAAAAAAAAAAAATTCAGACCCTTTTGGGAATAACTGAATAAGTGTATCCCAAAAATATCCCACGAATTCCCCAATCAACAAATTTGTCATTTTCTCGACTTTTTGAATGTGCATAGCAAAGACAACCAAAAACTCTCAAATTTGTATAATTAGGCAATTTGCCATGCAATAACTCGTATGGCGTTTTACCTACGAAGACAGGTGACTGTAGTCTATTGATTAAATATCCTGCTGTCAAAACACATTCCCCCCAAAATGTCAATGGCAATCAAGCTTGGAACCTCAAAGCTCGTGCCATTTCAAGTATATGTCGATGCTTCCTTTCAAGTTTCAACCCGTCCATTTTGCTATGGTGTAGCTACACATGAAGTTTAGAAGAGAATTTCTTGATCATTTTTTTTAATTTAAGAAGATTTATAGGTATGTATAAAACATTAGGCAAGGTAGGGGGACTAAAGCCAATACCTACCCGAATTTACAATGTACGGATAACTAACTGCGTCAAACTTGACAATGCCTACGAACTTACTATAAATGTTCTGGGTGACAATCAAAAGCATCAAAATATTTAGCAATAAAACTAGCTGCTCGATTACATGGAGAATTCCTTGTTCCAAAAAATGAGATTTTAAACATAGAAATTCACTATCATTGAAATAAATTGTTTCAAAATATTCTTGACTTCACTCTTTTCACAAAATAGATGCACCCAAACACATCCAAAAAATCATCTACTATGGTCAAAAGATAATGTGAGCCACAAGTTGTAGGTGTGTGATAAGGCCCCCAAATATCACAATGTATCATTTCAAACAATTCAATAGCACGCCCGATATTAAGTGTCCCGAGTTTGTATAGCTCGTACACGAGCATCATAGAAAATAGACGAACTTACACAAGGGATATCATTATTATTTTTCTTCACACATTTCATGACTCTTGGCGACGGATGACTCAACCTCATGTGCCACAAATATGGACTCTCCAGTCTTTACCGCATGCACCTTGATCGATTCTACACTGAAAATTGTAGACCCCCGCACTGTCTACCCACTCCAATTTGCGACCTCAAAAGTGGGTCCTATATTAGACATTCTTGTTAGTAAAAGTTATAATGCATTTCAGATCATCAATTAAGCGCCCTAACGAAATTAAATTACACGACAATCCCGACACATAAAGCACATCGTTTAACTCTAGTTTATCATCAAGTTTCACACATCCCGAATGTTCGGTATTCATCATGTCACCATTAGGTAAAGTCACTGTAATACGCGGTATAATTTTTCTTAAGGACCGATTCTTACTGTCATTTAAAAGATTGAGAAACACACACCATTGTTTAGGGGTTATTGCAAGAGCCTTTGTCCCGCACAATGCTTCTTTGTTGACCGAAACTCCACTATCCACTTGCACGGTATGCACAATTGCTTCTCCCCATCCACGGATTCCTCCTCCTCGCATCTGGGTCTTGTTTCTGTTTTTGCCGTCAATATCCGCCAGGGTCATCATTTGAACAAGATACTGCCCACTGGTTCGTGTCGTCTTCTACAAGATTACGTTCATTATTCATTGCCGTCTTGTGTCGCGTCAGTTCAATAGAGACGAGATCCAACCCGCTCTGATACCATGATGAAGCGAGTAGTTAATAGAGAAAAGAAATATGATGTCTGGTCAACAAACTAATTGAAAGGAAAACCAATTCATTTTTCTTGCTTATACTACACTAGCTTCTTTTGTATATATACAAGTATGCGTACAACTATTCTTAATGATAAAATATACTTTCATAAGGGTATGTTTGAGAGTTTGAATGGATGGAGAGGGGAAAGTTTTAAAGATTAGTCATTGGAAGGTAAAGGGGAGGGAAGGGGGAGGGAAAGGGGAGGAAAACTTCTTATTTGGGAGTAACAAATTTGAAAAGAGAGAGGTTATGGTTGAATTATAATTAAAATTACTTCACATATATGATGAATTAAAATAGTTGAATTTTTATTGATTTAAAATTGAGCTAAAGTTGCCATATACTGCGTAATTAGTTATCCCTTAAAATACCCCAATTTGGGGGAACTTGAAATTGAATTATTTGAAAGGTTTTGGAGGATTACAAAAGCCCCCCCAAAACCATCACATCCATATTTTTAAACTCCCAAACATGAAAGGGAGGATCATAAACCCCTGTCAACCTTCCTCTACTCTCTGATACTCAACTCCCAAACATACCTTAAGATAAAGATATACACACACAACACTAATATAAAGTAACGTGTAAAAGTGATGACCAAATATTGTGATCCCATAAATTACGATTCCAACAAATTGTTCCACCTAAAAATACTCTGCGCCAAATTCCTCAATCAGAACAACAAATAGTTCAACAACAAGAAGAAGAGGAGGAAGAAGAATGGATATTCAACGAAGATACAAAAGAAGAAATTATTTGTGAAGCTCACAAAAGGAGCATGGTCGAATGGAAATTCAATGAGGCTAGTCGATGTGGTGGCATCTCGTGTGCCTACAAAATCAATCATGGTTAATAATTTGCGATATATAGGATAACTCACAAACTTCGTAGCATTGAAATGTTCATGGGACAAACAAGCTAATTACATATGCCTTATTCAGTATATATTTCTTTATTCAAGTTTTAGCGATAGGCATGTAATCCGTATAATGACTTTTTACATTAGAGTAGACACACTTATTAATCTCCTCTATTTTTTATTATTCCTTGCATCGGGAAAAATTAGCTTCATAAAGCATTATGTTGTGTATCGATTCAAGTTGTAAAGAATAGTGTGACTATATGACTATGTACTTTAAAGGGGGAGTTGCAAATATACCCCTGAAGTATATGTGAAGGTGCACTTATATCCCTAAACCCCTAAAGGTGCAAGATTCACCCCTATTGATTTTAAATATATAGAATACATTTAACAAAAACCAAAAATATGTTAAAATTAAATATTAGAAATTGAAAAGTAAAAGAATAAAAATCTACTCGTGTCAGATTCTCTCTTTTATTATTTATATATCATAATTTAATATTGTTAGATAAAATTGTTAATATATTATTGGTCCAAATGGTCTTTGTATATTAATAATAGTTGACACCCTATTTTAGCAGCCCGCTACACTTCCTATTCTTTGCATCAGACTGATCTATGCCTATTCAGTTCCCCAATTTGAATTCTGATTGAGTTGCATTATCTCTTGTCTGTGCAATGTATGAGTATCCTTTTCTATCTCATTTCCTTTGCTAATAAGGCCAAAAGTACACCTTGTTATATAGGCAGACCCGTGCTTCTAATTGAGACAAGCCAGACTTTCATGTGTTGAATTAGTCTTCTTCCTGGCCGAGTGCATCTCCTAGTGAGTTTTTCCTTCTTCTTTGTGAGGCTAGAAGTGTGAGTGTAGGCGTGGCTATCTAGAGAAGTTGCTCCCTTAGCTTAGGAGTGCACAAGAGACAATCGGAAAACCGAGCTCCGGACTGCCTGAGTCAGAATACGGCAACGGAATCGATCCTCAACAGTGATATCAGAGACGGGGTTGTCGTCGTCTTCGTTTTCGCCAAATTCCGCCGGCCGGAGGTCACCAACGGTCAAGCTTCGTCGTCTTCTCACAGGAGCTCACTGTTTCGTCCACCAGAGATTGAAACCGCTGGAGCTCTGCTCGTGACTCGCCCAGACCCCTCACGCTAGAAATCGACCGTTGATTTCTGTTCCGCCGCCGTACACTGCCGATTTAAGGTCTGGAAAGCCATCGCCGGAAGTCGCTACTGTCCAGCAGAGAGATTGTTTTCGCATGGAGGTCATAGCTCGCGGATAAGTTTGTCGCTGGAGCCGCCGCCTTCCGTCGCTGCAGGTCGCCGTCCCAGAGCTCGTCCTTATCCGTTCTTGTCTTGGTCGCAGAGAGAACGAGTTGTACCTAGACGTGGATCTCTCGCTCAGAAGCAGAGAATAGAGGACCTGGGCTTCAAATCATTGGGCTACAACTCAATTGGGTTGGACGCTGGTCAAAGCAGAGGAGTCTACTTCGCTGGACAAAGAAGAATCCCAGAAGCTCGTGGTTCGTCACTCTCCTGGGAGCTGGAGGACTGAACATTGAGGCTGGATTTGGAATGCGAGACACAGTACGTGATACCTTTCTGCTGCTGGACTTGGGATGTACCTTCTGGGCTGCTCAGTTGCTGAACTGCTTGACTTTGAGTTGCACTTGGAGCTTGATATTGGGGTTGGACTTGGAGCAGAGAAGAGACTTGGTCAATTGCTCAGTCAACTTGGTCAAAACTCGGTCAACGTCCGTCAAGGGCAGTCAATAGTCTGAAAAATCCCAATTTTTAAATTGGGTGGGTAAGGTCCAAAAACTCTCCTAGTGTTTGGCTATTGTAAGTCTTCTTTATCCGAAATTTCAGTTTCTGCTTTTCAATTATTTTAAATTGTTAGAATTTGTTGTTGATTTAATATTTGCTAGATTGTATTTATTTGTGCTAATGTTAGCCCTATAAATGTTAAGTTGTTTTTTAGCTAAAGTTTCATTTTATTTTTTCTTGTTTAGTTTTTCTGTGTGAAAATGTCTGCTTTTAATCAGTATGGAATAGCTCCATTTAATGGAAAAACTGATTTTAGCATATGGAAACAGAAAATAAAGTGCATATTAATTCAACAAAAATCATATAGGGCCATTAGTGAGACCTATTTGGCTTCCGATACGGAAGAGAAAAAAGCAGAAATGAATGAAAATGCTTGTTCTACAATTCACTTGAACTTATTTGATTGTGTGCTCAGAAAAGTAGGAATTTTAGAATCAGCTAAATCTGTGTGGAATAAACTTGAAGAGCTTTATAACGTAACCTCTTTGCCTAACCGGATGTTTTTACTTGAGAAGTTCTTCAAATTTAGACTAGATATGTCTAAGGATATTGAAGAAAATCTAGATGTTTTTACCAAACTTATTTCGAATATTAAGTTGTGTGGTGATAAGCATATAGATGATTATTCCCCTATTTCTCTTTTAAATGCTATTCCTGATTCCTTTGTGAGGACAGTACTAGAGGTCTGAATAGAGGTCTGAAGTAACTACCTCGGGGCCTATGGGACCGGGGTGTTACAGTGAGTTGCTATTTTTTGAACCTCACATAGTTCAAAATTCCCAGTTTCATGTTCACTCTCTTGCGAAGTTAAGTGAAGAGTTGGTCAAATCTGGAAAGGCGGAACACTTCAAAAAGATTACAAGAATAATTCATCTTGTATTGAGTTTACCTGTTTCGACTGCAACAATAGAAAGATCATTTTCTACATAAACAAGGGTGAGAAACAAGGATATTTATAAAAGTAAATGGCTGTTGGTATGGGAATGACAAGAGGGTTCCATTGATGTGCAATAATAATGAAATAATAAACTACATATATATCTGGTAATAATTTACGTAGTATATAAAATCAATATTAACACATACGTGGTTGCCACCTCGTCTCACGATGATTGAGCAATGAGATAACTTGAAAAGTAAAATCGCAGATTACTAACTTTAAGTACATTTTGCGTCGATATATATTCAGGCAATGCCACAGTACGCAATGAGTGTTTTTTTGTTGCCTTATGAGCTTTGTGAGAAGGTGCAACGGGCCATGAATGCCTTCTGGTGGCGAGATCATGCTTTTAAAGGAAAAGTTATTAGATGGCGGAGGTGGACCAATTTGTGTGTTCTGAAGAGCGCTGGGGGATGGGCTTTCGCAGGCTGCGGGAGTTCAATATTGCTATGTTGGGAAAGCAGGTGCGGCGCCTTATTAAACAGCCGGGGTCGCTTGTTAGTAGAGTTCTTCATGCTCGATATTATCCCAAGGGTAATATTCTGGATGCGGGGTAGGGAGTAATCCTCCCTTATTTGGAGGAGTATAATTACGGCCATGCCTACGGTCCGGGTAGGGGTGGACTGAACCGGGCCGGTTCGGGCCTCGGGCCTGGGCCCGGCCGGGCCTCGGTTCAGTATATATAGGCCCGAGCCCGAACCGGGGGTGGCCGGTTCCGGGCCGGGCCACCCGCCCTATTAATTTTTTTTTTTTGGCTTCTTTATTTAATCCCCTACCCCTCTTTCTCAACCCCAAACCACCCCAAACCATCTCAAATGGACCAAAATACCTAATCTAACCCAAAACATAAAAATTTTTCAAAAAAAAAAAAAAAAATTAATTCCGGCCCGGACCGGGCCCGAACCGGCCGGGCCGGTTCACCATATGGAAGGCCCGGGCCCGGAACCGGGAACCACCGGGCCGGTTCGACCCGAACCGCCGGTGGACCGGGCCACCGGGCCGGGCCGGTTGCTACAGTGGCCGGGCCGGGCCGGTTCCGAGTCGGGCCGCCCGGCCCGAGTCCAGGCCTAGGTCCGGGAGGGGCTGATTTACCGGATAGGGGATGGATCTAGTGTTAGGGTCTGGAAGGATAAATGGATCCCTACCAATAATGGGGGGCGAGCGGCGAATGGTATTATTAGTGAGCTTGAAGATATAAAGGTGGACTCACTAATAAATGAGAGTGGTAATGACTGGGATTGAGATATTTTACATGATATTTTTCAGCGGGAAGATTGCAAAGCTATCTCGGCCATACCTTTAAAGGGCTTTCGGGGAGGGGGTGAATTGATTTGGGCGGCTGAGAGAACTGGAAAATACTTGGTCCGGAGAATTGATTCGGTTCTCTAGCTAAAAGAAATACTTTCTATGACTCATACTCTACGAAGTTACTTGCAAAAATCTAAAGCTAGTCGCAGTGCATCCTACTTATAAGCTTGAACTCTAAGTATTGTGCCTTCAAATAAAAGAAGATTTATGGGGTTGTTTGCTACCTGTAAAAGTACTTTATTTCCCAAACTAGAAAATCAAAAAGAAGACCTGGGAAACTACAAAACTGGAAGAAAAAACTCAAAACAGAAACAGAAAAAATGACAAACCAAAAGCTATAAAAACTGTGAAACAAAAGTCAAGAGCCCTAAGCTTTACAGATTTAGTGATCATCACCAAGACCAGCCCATTAACTCAACCTACTTGTGGTTGGAATATTTTGCACCTTTTAGAAGTTTAGAGATATATCTACTTTAGGGGTATATTGAAACATTTCCCCTATTTTAAAATTATCATATACTCCATTGCAAATTATTTTGAATGACCACTAATTGGTTAACCAAAGAACCATTGAAAAGAACAATGTCGTTAATACGGAGTGTAAGGATGTTTTTACTTGGACTGTAATTTGTCCCAGACCAGACCAGACCAGATCAGTCCAGACCAGACCAGACCAGACCAGTTCAGACCAGACCAGACTTGGATAGTTATAAAAATACAAAGAAACCAGACCTTACCAGACCAGACCAGACCAGTTCAGACCAGACCAGATCAGACCAGACCAGACCAGCAAATTACAGTCCAAGTAAAAACATCCTAAGGCCGTATGAGTATTCGAGTTCTCTCATACGTGTATATATTCACTCTACATATAAGGGTGAGAAACAAGGATATTTATAAAAGTAAATGGCTGTTGGTATGGGAATGACAAGAGGGTTCCATTGATGTGCAATAATAATGAAATAATAAAAATATACATATATATCTGGTAATAATTTACGTAGTATATAAACTCAATATTAACACATACGTGGTTGCCACCTTGTCTCACGATGATTGAGCAATGAGATAACCTGAAAAGTAAAATCGCAGATTACTAACTTTAAGTACATTTTGCATCGATATATATTCTCTTTTCTGTTTTGGAACAAAGGTTTGTTCTTGTTTGTTTTATGCATCGATGTATATTCTTCTTTTCTATGTGTATGTTTACGTACATGCAATAACAGGTCATAAAATCTTGCAAAGCATAAATGATATTTACAATTTTTTTATCCTAATCCTATATGCTATGTAGAAAATCAGAACTGAATGTGTTACTCTTTCCAGAAGAAATGATCACATACAGGTGAAGATATTAAGTGTCTGAATACGATTCATTTGGAATACCCTTTGAACATTTAAGACTGGGAGAACAAGGGGGAACATGAAACCTTACCCATCATGAATTATGCATGACTAGAAAATGTATGGTAGGTATAACAATCTAAAGATAGAGCTCCTCTAGTCCGAGGAAGGGAAGAAATGTCCGTGAAAACTTTGGTAAAAGTTTTCCCAAACTACTTTAAAAGTAGTTTATTTCCCAAACTAGAAAAATCAAAAAGAACTGGGAAACTACAAAACTGGAAGAAAAAACTCAAAACAGAAACAGAAAAAATGACAAACCAAAAGCTATAAAAACTGTGAAACAAAAGTCAAGAGCCCTAAGCTTTCCAGATTTAGTGATCATCACCAAGACCAGCCCATTAACTCAACCTACTTGTGGTAGGATGCATAATGAAATTTAAACAGTCAAATAGTCGTCTAAAACTAGTTAAAAACATATCCAATGCAAAAATTATGAGATGGAAAAACAAAACTCATCATGTTGCATTTTCCCACTTCTGCTGATAGTGTCATGAGAGGATGATAAATAGTTGACATAGTTGATTTAGTGATGTGTCTAAAAATACTAAAATCGATATTGCAACTCCCACCCTGCATAAAAGGCTTCTAGGAATCCACACACGGACAGAAGCGCTTTTCTTGGAAAAAGGATAGAAACACACCTCATTGTAAGATGAGTCGCTCTCCTCGATCTCTAGATGGAAGCGATCACTATCATACTCTACAGAATCACCGTCACTTGAGACAAATGCATCCTGAAACGAAAATATGACCCTGATGTATATTTAACAGTAAAAATTGTGAAGAAGGCATATATTTCTTCTATGCTAGTCAATTCCAACCCTCGAGTATCTGCCCCTACCGTAAAATTTTGACCTAGTAGGTCAAATACGAATTTTTATTGTGTCCTAATTTCAGCCCGATCCGGCCCAGTTTTTACTACACATTTTATACGAGTGCATAATAGATAGTATTACTAAAGTTAGTGTCATAAATGTGTGTGTATTAACGCAGAAACTAGTCTAGTTGGTTTTATATTACAATAATAACAATGTTGAAGTCAAAATTAATTGAATGTCATGATAAGATGGTTAAGTGTCTACTATCTGCTTGGTCAACACTTTAAACATTGTTTAACGGTCTCTTCAGTCTATGCATATAAGAATGGCAGAACTATCGAATACGCCCTCCAAGTATTTCGGAAAAGTCAATTAGCACCTTGTACAAAATAAAGACCCAATTGGAACCCTGAGCTTTTTAAAAATCACCAATTTCTCATTTCAGCCCGTAACTATCCGGTTTACTGGTTACCCCTTAAAATAGCAAATACAGAGTATTAAACTGGTATGTACGAGCGCCACATCATCTGCCTCATGCTTATCTAGTATTTCTATTTCTTTATTTCTCACGTTGGTCTCTACTCTTCAAACAGACCTATGCCTCTTCTTCCTCTGTAAACCCTAGGACCTAGAGTCTAGAAGTTCGTCTGGTTTCCATTGCCGATACCAAAGAAGTTCTTTTCAAGTTAATCAATTAATTATTTTACTTCTAATCTCTTTCCTTTGTAAATAGCTAAATGATTGACACGGAACAGATTTTCCCCAAATCAAAGTTGCACCATCTTTTTTTTGTTCAAAGAATAAGGTCCCAACCAAGTACCAACTCATCCCTGCAAGCGGTAACATACCAGACGAGGAGATAGAAAATAATTATTTTTCCCCATTGGAGTCTTGGAGAGGTGGTGATAACGGAGCATAGTTGGTTCCAGTGCAGCAACCGTAATAATAGTGGGTTCAATCTGGTTTAGAAGAAACTGCATGATCTTGATACAAACCTGAGCTTATGGCAAGAGAACTAATATAAATAATACTGAATATTTTAATAAGCTGTAATAAGGAAGTGGGCCGGGCCATATAATTAGTTAGATTGAGGAGAAGCCTCTTTGGGAAAGAATAAATAGTAGGATTAGAAGAGGGAGAGGCATGGTTGGATTTTGGGGAAAATTGAGATCTGGGAGAGATAGGGGCCCTCTCGAGCTGGCCTCCATTGTATTCCTCTTGTTTTCTAAGACATCAATAATATTTTCAACTCCAATTTTCCGCGTTGGCACTGGACCGTCCATCACATTAATGCAGAGAAGAGGAACTGGTACATTTCCAACATAACAAGTACTGCTGCACTGCCTGTAATACGTGTCTACAGTCTGTGGCAAGTCAAAGTAACAAATAATCAGGCCTCAAGTAACAATTAGTGAATGTGAAGCTATGAAAAAGCTATTTGGTACCTCATAGTTCCAGGAGACGAGTGGCATAATTATGAGAGTCTCTTACACTGCTTGACTGAAAGAAAGCACAAATACTTCAGCAGAGGTATCTAACTTAATAGGTAATGGAAACCATTCAATTGTACAAGTGAATGATCAATTCTACAATGATCACTATAAGAATTAGTGAAGTGTTCTTTTAGTTCATTCTTGCATAGTGAGAAATGGCATCCTACTAAATGGTGCGAAGAAAGGCAGACTAAAGGTGAAAGAAGTTTGCGTGAGCCAATAGTAGGATGATGTTAAACATACTGGTCAGATTTTTTAGAGTTAGAAGAGGCAAATCATGTGTGGTTTGATCACACATGCAAGTTGATCACATCTAGCGCCTGAGTGATTCAGAAAATTGTAACAGAAAAACTAGTGTTTGGAAACCCATTCATGCAACATATTGTTAACATGATACACATTCCCATATTGTTCTTCTTTTCTGTTTTGGAACAAAGGTTGTTCATCTTTTATGCATTGATGTATATTCTTCTTTTCTATGATTTTCTTTAGGGAAAATCAGAAGATTCCGAGAACTAGAGTTATCGAGACATTCATTTTCCAAAATTAGGGTCATCGGGTTGGATTCAAAAAAATTAAAGTCAAGTGGAATCAATTTTATTTGGGAGAACGACCAAAATGGACACTTAGGTTATTTAGAGAGCTCAAAATGGACACTAGCCTCTTAAATAGACCAAACAAACCCATCACAATTCACCTTTGAAGATCATTTTTGGACACTGACTAACTGAATGGGGTTAAAAGGTGTTGCCCCGTTAGTTTTCAGAAAGCAAACAATGAAACAAGAAAGGAGGAACTGGAAGAACCCTATTGTCGCCCCGTCCAAGAACCCTATTTTTACCCGGACCCTTTCGCTCAAAATTCAAACTGCAGAGACTGGAAGAAGTACAAATTTTCAGCAACCTAAATTTGTTCTCAGTCTGGCCGTCAGCTCCAAGAAGTTTTTTCGAGACTAAGATAGAAATTTAAACGCAGAGCAACCCTAACTCATTCTCATCTTCATCTATTATCTTCTCTCTGCCGGCGAAATACGAGAGGCAAATTTGGATCATGAGACAACCAGATTCACCATCAAGCTCAGCTGCAAAGAAAATTGCAAAACACAGGGTCAATCCTGAAGCATGACAATTGGTGCAAGGGGATTGGATAAAGCTGGATTCCAGGATTTTGATATTGAAATTGAAAATATGCAAAGTGAGCTTCAAGAATTGAGGAGTTTCAAAGCAGCTGAGAATAAGGAATTGGAAAGGGAAAGAAATAAAATGAAAAATTGTTTGATTGTTGTATTGTCTTGTATTTTCATTAATGTAGTGTGTGTACTTTTTTAGTTAATTTGTATTTTTAGTATTTGTTAAACTCACTGGAGTGCAAATAGGATTAGTTAAATCCTACACATAAACTCACTGAAAAATGAGTTACACTAGTCATAAAATGCAAATAAGCTTTACTACACAATATACTTTAGTTTATTGTCCTGCCAATAAACTTTACAGCACATATTCATAAAACTCAATATGGCTGCATGTGAAACGCCGCACAAACTAAGAATGATGCAAGCATAGGCTTGTTATAACACCTCATTTAACTGCTAAAAAGTGTAAATACACTTTGGTTCCAGGCGTCCAAGTTCCAAAAAGTCAGTAAAGGAAGGGATGGCAAGTGTAGGTGTAAAATGTAAACTTATCTTGTTTGGGAGAGTAAAGAAAATGAAGAGTTATTAAAGGAAGGGTTTTTGTTGAATTGTCTAAAATAACCTTATACTTCATACGTGCACACACACACAAACATATATGTATAAAAGGGTTATCGATATGGAAACCCGGGTTATCCATATTATTATGAAAATAAAAAAAAGGTTATCAAGCCATGTTATTAGTGTTAGTATCAAAAAAGCTTGGGCATAAGAATTGCCTCTACATATAAAAGGTGCTTTTATATGTAGAGTTATATACATGTTTACAGTTCTGGTTAGCATAAGAATAACACAAATGGAAGCTGCTTTTATATGTAGTGTTAGGAGAAATAAATCATGATATATTTGATTTTAAGTTCTGTTTAGTTGACAATGACCAATAGGTTTTGACAGACAGCACTTCACTCACGTCATCACTTGTTTAATGTTTCCAGACGCATTTTGCAGCAAGAAGCTCTCTGACATATGCAGGCAGTACTTCAGAAATTCAGAGAAATCCAAAACATTTTATACTGGAAAGCCGTAAAAGACAAAGCAATAGCAAATACTTGACGTAAATTACCTTTGCAATGTCCTCCCATTCTACTAGACGAGAAAAAAGTAGACTCATGCCTGCAAAGTTGAGGGTTCAAAGCGTAAATCAATCCACAAATAGAAAGGCAAATGCAATATAAAGTAAAACTTGAGCCATGGTCATCATCATGTTCATCTTAATATCAAGTAGTTGGGAATTGGGATTGGTGGGATTAAGTTTATAACGACGACTAAGTTATAGAGTTGAGATTAGTTAACAACTGAACACTATAAATTCATGCAAAAAAGCATGGTGACATAATTTTAAGCAAGCCACATTGTTGCAACCTTCCTGTGAAGGAAGTACGAATGAATGAGATGCATTTCTAAAACCATCATGGTAGGTCATTTGCACTTGCAACGAAATATCATTCCTTTATGAGACAGTGATGAAGTGAGATGCTTGTATGTACTGGTTACAATACAATATAGCATAATACTACCTCCGTCCCATATTTCCAAATGCGGGTTACGAAGTTTGGTCATTTTGGGAGAAAGACCAAAATGGACACTTTGGTCATTTAGAGAGCTCAAAATGGACACTGACCTCTCAAATAGACCAAAATGTGTTGCCCCGTCAGTTTTCAGAAAACAAACGAGGAAACAAGACAGGAGGAACCGGAAGAACCCTATTTTTGCCCCGTCCAAGAACCCTATTTTTACCTGCTCAAAATTCAAACTGCATAAACTGGAAGAAGTGTAAAGGAGTACCAACTTCAGCAACCTCAATTTGTTTTCAATCCGGCCGTCGGCTCCAAGAAGTTTGACAAGACTAAGATAGAAATTCAAACGCAGAGCAACCCAAATTCATTCTCACCTTCGTCTGTTATATTCTCTCACCTTCAACAAGACTAAGATAGAAATTCAAACGCAGAGCAACCCAAATTCATTCTCACCTTCGTCTGTTATATTCTCTCACCTTCATCATCAAGCTCGGCTGCAAAGGAAAATTGCATACACGCGGGGTCAATCCTGAAGCATGACGATAAGGCTGGATTCCAGGATTCTGATATTGAAATTGAAAATACGCAAAGTGAGAAAATACGCAAATTGAAATTGCTCACCTTCTTTCCTTTTCCCTTCGACTCCTTTCCTTTTCCTTTTCCCCTTCCTTCGACTCCTAACTATAATAACTTTAATCTCATTTTTGTCCATCAAATTTTTCATTAGTATTATTTTAGGGAATGCCCAAAAATTTGAAATGTTCGAACATTTCCGTCGTTAATAATTTCATTTTCTCCGCTTCTCAAATTAAAAGTTTAGACATTTGAGATTTTTACACCCCTATCCCCCCATTTACGTCCCCTTTTGATCCGTTTTGTCCTTCATTCTTTCAATCATTTCCTATTTACATTACTTTACCCCCTCTCACAAAACTTGATGTACTTTGCTCAATTATATGAGAGGATATTAAATTCACGATTGCACTATGAGGTGGATGGTTGGTGGAACCGAACTGCATGCCGCATGGACTGATAGTCGCGTTGCAAGTTGAAGGCGTGATAAAATTCTTGACCAAACGCACTCATTTTATTACAACTCTATTGTTTCATTTAATAAAACGATTTTAAGAGTTTGATGAAAGGAAAAAAAACGTAGGTTTGGCCATATTAGGTACTTTTGATGCCATTTCCATATTAATCCAATGAGTGTAGAATGGGGGTCCATATTAGGTACTTTTGATGTCATTTCCTTCATATCACAATCCTCTCCCCATATTTCCCTATCCCACTCATGTGGGAGGTCAATCCTTTTTGTCCTGAAGTGTACAATTGGTCCCGAAAGTTGTATTTTTCGGACTGTTTTAAATATATTTTATTTTATCGGGTCAAATAAAATATATTACCCACTCTCAATCATAACGCCCCCTTGAAATAATATATATTCCAAAACTTTAATTTGGAAGTCTCTGAAATTCATTTTCGGGCTGTTATTTGTTAAATTGTCGGTACCGGTATTTGGGCCTATTTTGCCCAATCGGTCAACTCTGGGCCTTTCCACGACCCAAATGAAATATCCACCACCATATAAATACTATCTTGATCAAGATGAATAAAATATGTGGTCTCGGGAAGGTTGGGTGGTCCCCGCTCCCGATGTGGGTCCCACGTGCAATTTACTATTCACGCAAAAGAAATATAAAAATTTACAACTTCGTAAATTCATAAATCATTCCATAAGGTTTATTACATCATTTACGTACAAGTAAATACATTTGGGGACGATGTTACAATATATATCACAAACATAACATAATTAATTTTCTGGACACAACAATCTAAATAGAACAAACTTAACAATTAAAATCAATACAAATTAAAACATGATAAGAACAATTAATTAACCAATTTCTAGCCCCAAATTTATTTAGCTATACATGTTGGGAAGCTTAGAAATAGATGAATTCATGATTGAAGTACAAGATTTAAAGAGATAAGGAAGATCAAACTTGTGATAGATGACAATCCTTGGAGCTTGATGCTAATCTTGACTTTAATCTTGATTGAGAAAGTGATTAATTGATGTTGAAGATTGGTTGATGATTTGGAGATGAAGAATGAAGAGAGAAGGAGGAGGAAATGATTCTGGGAGGTGTAGAGAGAAGTTGGTTCGAGATTATGTGTGGAAGAAGATGGATTAAGACAATATAATGATAAGGTGATTAATCATTAATTGCTGGAATTTACGAAACTATTAGATATATATACAAGCAAACGTCTCCAAGTTTCAACAACCCGTAGCAGCGCAGTGGAAGAGGAGTGTTGCTGAAACACTGAAGTCCTGTGTTCGAACCCTTCTAGTGATTTCTTTTTCCGTCTTTTCTTGCTGCAGTTGAAAAGAATTAAAACAAGCTCCAGTTAAACCTTCACAACTTGGACATTCAGCTCACCGGTTGAGCTTCCCTTTCTTTTCCCAAGCGACCAGAGATTGAATCCTTGCTCCATGTTTTTTTTTTCACTTTTTGCCTCTTTTCTTCAATTTACTCATTTGCTTGAAATTCCACTTTTAACTGGAACTTTCATTTTCTTCTTTTCTTCACACACAAATATATCAAATTGTATCAAAAGTACCTGAAAATACAAAGTACCCGTGTAGGACTGCACAAGTACAAACTAACGACAAATAATAAAAATATATACAAAAGTAAAACTTTAATAACTAAAATTAACAACAAACTAAGCTTAAAAAGCGTGTAAAATATGAGCACATCAGTAGACAAAAACTACAATTCAAAAACCATTTCTTTATTCCGATAAGATTCATGTGGTTAAACAAGACATGAGTTATTTAAAAGACATCGAATGATGTTTAATTACCTTTTAAATAAAAATTAAAAGACATGAGTTATTTAAAAGACATGAGTTATTTCGACAAAATGTTATATATCCTTTTCTATTTTTTGAATAAAAATTAGCCGCGGAGCCCTACAATAGTGAAACAAATTCGTCTCGCTATACCAGCGGAAAAAATTTGCCCCGCTACATTAACGAAAAAAATTTCTCCCCGCTACACTAGCGAATTTTTTTTGCCCCGTACACTACCGAAACAATTTCGCCCCCCATTGACTTGAAATCTTGGATCCGTTCCTGACTGTTGTAAGCTCCTTATTGTGCAATTCACATACGAAGTACATACTATGGAGTAGGGGTGGGCAAACGGGTCTTGGAACCACGGTCCGGTCCGGGTAATGGCGGTTCGGGTCCAAAACGGGCCGGTTCCATTTTTTGTTGCATGAAAACGGTTCGGGTAGGGTCGGTTAATTTTTTTAAAGAACCGGACCGGTTCCAAAATAATAAAATGTCGGGTACCCGGCCCGGCCCGTTATATATATATTGTATATTAATTTATTAATAGTTTTGTGATAATCGGTTTTGATATAGTTTTGATTCCCTTTGCTAGAAGTAGGATTTTAAATTGACTTGGAATAACATCCTTTTGTTTTCAAATTACTGCTTACATTTTACATAAATTTCTTATTACTTTTTATTGTTAGTGAATTATTCCTTTCTATGGAATTTATTTATTTGTTAAAAATGCTTTTGTAATATTTATTTTTATAATACTGTTCTTAAAATTTCTTCAAAAAACATATAGTTCTTAAAATATACATAGTATAAATTTTTCTTACCACCCCCATGTATGTTTCAACTTTGGCTAATAATGAAAATTTAACAAAAAGAATCACCTAAATATGTGATGTTAGACAACATGTTTAAATTAAAATGTTAGAAAATATGTAAAATATGTATTTTGGCTATGTCGCTGATTTTTGGAACTTCTTTAATTGTTTGGAACTTGGATACATGAAGTTATGAAGTATTGGAATTGTCGTTACATGTGTGCACCACTATGTTGTTATTTTGAAACTTGCTAAGGTACTATACTTTTTATTATTGATTTTTGGAACTTCATGAGTTTTTACTACTTTTAAAACATGAGAATAGAAACCGTAAAATCCGGACCGGACCGACCCGTTTCAAACGGGCCGGGTAAGGTCCAGTTTCTATTTTGAAAATTGCAATACCCGGACCGTACAATGGAACTGGCGGTTCCATTTTATTTTGCATTACCAGTCCCAACCGGACCCATGCCCAGCCCTACTATGGAGTACATCTTTTGCCTCGAAATAAATTTCATTGTTTCCTTTTTGGTCTGGCCCAATATGAACTTTTATTTCCTTTTATGGTAAAAAAGTTATAGTTCACAACATTTTTCTATATTCTCCTTAATATTGTTAATATTCAAAGAGTAGTTTTTAGACTGGTACTCTACCAAATCAATATCAATTAAACTAAACATTTAACGTTCTTGGCATTTAAATATTTGTGAAAAAGTATGAGAGAAAAATATGAAAAAATCAAATGCAAGATCAAAAGGTAGAAAGATGAGATCAAAAGTTTAAGAATGAGACATATTGTGTTCTTAATTGGATTGATTTGTCTTCTAGATCACACTAGATGAGATGGCAGTAAAATGCACATTAAATAGATACATATCAGACTAGACCAAATCAAATGACCTTAAAAGAAGCACAACTAAATGACCTCCAATTCTCTAACATTGTGATTGTTTACTACTCCGTGTGCAGTGTCTACAATGGCATTTCTCAAACAAACGCTATTGTAGACATCCCCATTACTTCTCACACAAAGTGACGTGTCATTGCATCCCACCTTGACTTCAAGCCCTTCATCTTTTTATCAGCATAGTCTACCTCTAAGGCTCTAACTCTCTGCTTTCAATTTTCATAGCCTGTTCCTTTGCAAGAGAGTGAACTTTCTTCGTCTGCTTTGATAGTTCTTCTCTTTCCAACTTCCGTCGTTGACTTTGGCTTTTAATTATCTCCAGCTGAGCTTCCATTTCCTTTTCTTTGGTATTTAGCTCTTCAAGATTAGTCTTTATTCTGTCCTCCATTTCCACTAAATCTTGGAGCAAGATGTTGGTCTTACATTCATCGTTATTCCAGGATCGAGTGACTAAGTAGAAAAATAGCGATCAATAATAATGACTTATAATTATGATAACAAATTATATTATACTTGAAAAAATAATTTTATAGTTTTGGGAGGAGTGACCACATACTCAAGTAAGAGCACAATTTAGTGGTTAAAATTTTAAGAATGTTTTCACATGAATCAATTTTAGCAATAGGTCTAATTAAAGTAGTCTAGAATAGGTTAATGAGACTTGTCTAGATTTAGTGTAATGAGATCATATAATCCGCACAGAATGGGGATGGACGGGGCCTGGGCGGCCCGACCCAGGATCAACATACCCGGGCCGGTACCGGGCTCCAATTTTCTAGTATTGGTACCGACACGGCCTGACCCGAGTCCACCCCTAGCGCAGAATACATTAAACCACACTTGGACAATTGTAAAATACACATAACATCAAATTCCCATAACTAAATAAAACCGGACTTATTTAAATAATCATATTATTTTAGATTTAAACACATCGGATCAAATTAGATCAACACAGAATAGTTATATTAAATTTAATTTAAGAAATATTAACGTGAGGGGGTATATAGTGACAATGATCAAATCTCAAGGGGTAACTAATTGATTTTTGAAAATACAAGGCCGCGTTAATAATTATGACATAATCTCAGGGAGCTAATAATAATTTTCCCTTTTATTTATTTATTTATTTATTTATTTATTTATTTATTTATTTATTTATTTATTTATTTATTTATTTATTTATTTATTTATTTATTTATTTATTTATTTATTTATTTATTTATTTATTTATTTATTTATTTATTTATTTATTTATTTATTTATTATATTTATTTATTATATTTATTTATTTATTTATTTATTTATTTATTTATTTATTTATTTATTTATTTATTTATTTATTTATTTATTTATTTATTTATTTATTTATTTATTTATTTATTTATTTATTTATTTATTTATTTATTTATTTATTTATTTATTTATTTATTTATTTATTTATTTATTTATTTATTTATTTATTTATTTATTTATTTATTTATTTATTTATTTATTTATTTATTTATTTATTTATTTATTTATTTATTTATTTATTTATTTATTTATTTATTTATTTATTTATTTATTTATTTATTTATTTATTTATTTATTTATTTATTTATTTCTATTTTATACTTCGTAGATACTGAGCAATCAAAACCAAGTAAAAGATTTGAAAGCATTAATCACTTTTAGTTTTCTTTACATTTTTGCACTTCTTTTTACCAATAGTAGCAGCTTGTGTTTTTCCATTTCTAATCACCCAATTGCCTGAAGAAGCTTCACTTGCATTTGGTCTGCAGAAGAACCTAAAAAAGCCTCAAAGCTACCCAGAAAATTGATTCAGAGAACAGCATTCTTCATAGATTCACTTCAAATGGTTAATGAACTTACGTAATAAGGTTAACATCCGGCACATAAAATTGAGTCTTGAAATCATGTACTGACCATTTGTATCACACTTCCCAATGCACCAAGAGAATCAAAGATATAGACAAGACTATCTCTAATGTTTGTATAGACAATAGATTTTAAACCACACTTATACACATAATTAGGTCTAAACGAGCCTACAACTTAGTAGCTAGACACAACCAAGATTTTATTTTCTTTTCAAGCAACAAGATGAAGTCTCATTGCATCCCATTTGGACTTCAAACTCTCCATCTTTTTGTTGGCGCCATCCACCTCAGCCTCTCTTCCTTCAATAGTGCAAGCCTGCTCCTCAACAAGATCACACACTTTCTTAGTCTGTTTCGACACTTCTCCTCTTTCCACCTTTAGTTGCCGAATATCGCTTTCTATTTTTTCGAGCTCAGCTTTCAATTCCTTTTCCCTCCTAACTAGCCCCTCCACTTTACTCTTTATCCCTTCATCCGTTTTCACTAAATCCTCCAGCAAGCGCTTCGTCTTCTCAAAAGTAGTCCAAAGATGCTCACTGACCCCCTTTATTTTACTCAATTCCCTCCATTCCCTCATCATCTGAGGAAAAGAATCACTCAAGCTCAAAATCTCTTCAGCCTGCCCATTGCTGAACAAAGAAAGATTGTTAGCGAGTATGGAGAGTGACTCCAACATTGCAGCTTCATGCTGTGGATCAGCCAAGTCCTCCAAAGGGTATGCTTTCAGCTTGTCAAAGATTTCTTTTGCAGAAGTTGCATTGTCTTTAAACAAACGAACTTCACATGGAATAGCACCGGATCCTAAGCTGGACATTGACTTGGGTAGTGACTTGAGAACAGATTGAACCCGGGAGTACACAGATTCAACAGGATCAATAACAGCAGAAGAAGAATCAATAGCCTGATCAATCCCAAAAAGAAAAAGAAGAATCATTCACATTTAGAAAAATTATATAATTAAAATACAACTCAGAGTAAAAAAAATACAAGTACATGGTCACTCTGTTTGTTTACATGCTGTAAAGCCTCATCACTCTGGATTAAGGCATTTATATTTTTAACCTGCTCATCGCATTGCTTTGTATCATCTTCACTCTTTTCCACATAAACCTCATCACTAAGAGTAGTGACATTAACAATGTTAATCTGCATATTATGTTCAACTTCAGAATTGGGGCAGATAATTAAATATTTTGGTTGATCAATAATCTAGTCAACCAACCTATGATAATGTCATTTACCTCTCTTTCTTGTGCTAACTCATTAATTTGATCTGATGCCTCTTCAATCTCCTCAATTTCAGAATATGGTTCCTAGATAGATAATAGTAAAGTGAATGTTAACGCTTTCTTTAACAAATAGTGGTCGACCAAAGTTTCATTGACCATAATTACATTTTGACATATTTTTTTTGGTCGAACGACGAACATAAAGTAATTTACATCTTTTTTTTCTTGTGACACATTATTATTCTCCCCTGCTACTTCCTCACCCTCCTCCATATTAACATCTTGTAGAACCACCTTAATCAGGGCTGCAGCATCTTGTTGAACACCAAGTTCAACCTGCAAACAATATATATATATAACAATATATATATATATATATATAACACATGTTTAATAATCCCCAACCTCATTACCATGTGTCTTAAGGTAGACCGATAACTATAATTGATCATTTACCTCTTGCTCTTGATACTCATTAACAGCCTCATCCTCAACATTTTCCTCTTTCTCCTCTTCACATTTTTTATCAATATATGATTGTACAGAATTTTCATTAACAGGAAACTGAGTGGACATAGATGCCTCTTTAGTGTGATGAAACGGAGAGAAAGGCATGTGTGCGGCATGAGGAGATGCAGTAGAAGTCTGTGTGGTCTCAGTTTGAGTGGGAGAAACTTGATTTCTTTCACATTCTTCATCTTTCTTCTTCCTCTCCACCTTATCAATTTTCTTCCTTAACACCTTCACCTTTTTAGAAGACCGTTTCTCCTTGGCATGATCCTTCACCTCACTTAACTTCCTTTTGCAGGAGACTGGAATAGAGATTAAATTTTGCTCTAATGCTTTGACATATCTATCCAGCTCGGCACTCGAGTGAGTATCTTCTATGTGCCTTAAGTTCATCATCCAAGTAGAACCAACCTCCATAGAGTCAGGTAGGAGTATACTTTGCACCCTCTGTAACAAAAAATCATTTTAGTTGTTTTCCACAAAATATAAGATCGACCAAATAGACGAAATATTGGTCGACTGTATACTTGTTGACCAAGTTGACTGAATATTGGTCAACCATATACAAGCTGACCAAGTGTTGGTCGACCATAAAAACTCATCCAAGTTACCATTTATTTGTCGACCAAATGTTAGTCAACCACAAAAAGTTGAACCGATACATGATACCGGAGCCAAAAGGAAAAGAAGATAAAAAGATGAGCTATAATAAAAAAGATAATATAAATAGGGATACGATATACATATATATATATATATATATATATATATAAAGGATAAAAAACATACGACAGAAAAGAAGATGAGGGGAAAAAGAAAAAAAGTTGACCAAGTTACTAATAATAGAAAAATCACTTACTTTTGTTGATTCCACAGCTTCTTTAACATGTCTGTTAAAGATTTTTGTTTTTGTCTTGTGCGTCCACAAACATAACCGTGGCCTAACAGGAATACTTTGAGACGTTCTAACGGCAAACTTTTGAGCAAAATCGGGGGCGCATTCCATAAGCAATATCTATTCAAATAAAAGTAGAAAAAAATGATGAAATACTATAACAAATTATAGTAGAATTTGAAAATGGTATCAACAAAGGTCCTTAGTTCCTTACCGATATGGGGATTAAAAATCCTGTGTAATTTAATGTTGGTGACATATCATTATTATGGATTCCTTTAAGCTTTGCATCCAAATTCTTTCTCAATGAAACCAAGGATTCTCTAAACGCCCACGTACCCCATGGAAAGTCTTCTTCTTTTTTTGCCCCTATTTTTTCAATTATCCATTCCGGAATGGAAGCTTTTCTCTTTGAAGGAGCTAGAAGAACTGTTGGAGGTATTGGTCCTACCAAGGCCTCCCTTCCACTTTATTTGTTGAGGCTTGCACACTCTATTTCACTCTCTCTGGGATATCTTTACTGTGGTATATATCCTGATCAAATATATACCTATTTTGAGGGTTGACTTACCCACTTGGCTGGCCCCTCCTTTGTTGTTGTCCGCTGCATTATATGTCCTTGCTTCTCGTGAGTGTCTTTTGTCTTAGCACTCACCCGTGACTTCCAGTTGGCCTTTGCCTATTATTTAGGAGCCTTGGCTCCCTCTTCTGTGAGTAGCCTGCGTGAGAAAATAATCCAGAGAGAGCAGTGCTCCCTTCTTCTTCCTTTCCTTTGTGTGAGAGTGTAGAGAGGTCCTTAGTGGAGAGTAGAGAGTTGTGTGCTATAGCCTCCTCTTAGTGTGGTGTGTGAGAGTGTGTTGAAAGACCTGAGCCGGAGACGGAAATAAACGGTCCTTACAGTGGTATCAGAGACTGGTTCGCCGTCTGCCGCCGTCCGCCGCCGCCGTCCGCCGCCGTCCGCCGCCGTCCGATTCGCCCCCTGAAGTCTCGCTTGGTGCCGTAGCTTCTGGTTATCCGGCGAATCTTGTTCCAGATCACTGTTGACCGTCGAAGTTCGAAGCTGAAGCCACCGTCCGCCTGGAAGCTCGCCTGCGCAAGTTCGCAGGGAGGTACTCGCCAGGAGGTCCGCCGTCGAAGTCGCCCAGAACCTCGTCACCGCAGAACGTCTCGCCACCTGGAAGCCCGCCGCTTGTCAGCGGAGGAGTCGCCGCCGGAGTTCTCTGTCCGTCGCCGGAGCAGACGCGAACCCCCGCTGAAGCCGTCGGTCGCCTGGGTCAATCGCCGGTCTTCGTCCTTTGCTGGTCCGCAAACAGCACTGGACATTCTCGCGTAGAAAGGAAGCAGCTTTGACCAGGGGCTGCTGGGCTGATTATTTGGGCCGCTGGGTTGTACTGTTGGAAAGCCCGGCTTCTGGACTGCAGGAGGCAGTTTGTTGAGGCTCTGGGCTATTGGGCCCTTTGAGCTGTTGGGCTGAGCTGGGAGCTGAGATTAGCTGGACTGAATTGGAGCTGATGCTGACTTGTTGGACTGCTGGAGCTGGAACCAGTCAACTGCCGGTCAACCGCCGCCGGTCAACGCCGGTCAACGCCGGTCAACCCCTCCAGAAAAATCCCAATTTTTAAAAATTGGGTAGGTAAGGTCGAAACGCTCTCCTAGGGTTTCGCGAAGGTAAGTTTTCTGTAAACTTCCCATTTGTTACATTCCGGTTTTAATTTAATTTAATTTTATTCCCCCTCCCCGCGGGCCGCCGGTTGATTTAATCCCGGCCGCCAACCCCCCAGGTACGTACTAAACTTTCTCCTTTGTGATAGACTGTTTTAGTTAATTAATTAAATTGCTTTGTGTTATTTAAATTAATTGTTATACATAGGGGTGGTTTATTGGGTGGTAGGGGTAGAATTAATTAAATTTAATTTTTCTGCCTGGAATTGTTTAAATTGCCAAAATGTCCATTTTTTTGCTATGTGTTGCATGCTGCCCGGGGTTATTAAAGTGAATGCTTTATAACCCGGGTTGGATTATTTTCTGTCATTTCTATCTGTTTAGCTTTGTGTTCCTTTGTGGTTGATACCATGGCTGCAAATCAGTATGGTATGCTTCCATTTAATGGAAAAACAGATTTTGATATTTGGAAACAGAAAATTAAGTGTGTTTTAATACAGCAAAAAAGTTTTCAGAGCTGTCACTAGTATTTTCCTAGAATCAGAAGATAAGGCTAAGCAAATTGAAATGAACGAAACTGCTTGTTCTACTATTTACTTGAATCTGTCTGATTCTGTGCTTAGGAAAGTAGGTATTCTTGAGTCTGCTAAGGAGTTGTGGGAGAAATTGGATAGTCTCTATACTGATACCTCTTTGCCCGGGAAGTTGTTCTTACTAGAGAAATTCTTTAGGTTTAGGCTTGACCTGACTAAGGATATAGACGAGAACCTGGATGTGTTTAATAAACTGATACAGAATATCAAACAGGCAGGTGATAAACACATAGATGATTACACTCCCATAGTATTACTTAATGCCATTCCCGACTCTTATAATGATGTTAAGTCCGCTATTAAGTACGGTAGGGATGAGATTTCATTAGACATTGTAGTGAATGGGTTAAGGAGTAAGGAATTAGACCTGAAGCATGCTAGGGGTAGTGCTAGTCAGTCCAGGGACTCCGGTGAGGCTATGTTTGTTAGGGATAGATCTAAGGGTAGGTCTAAGAACTCTAAGCAAAATAGTCAGGGTAAGAACACTAGTCAGCCTGGGAGGAAGAGGAGTAAATCTAGGAAGAGAGTGTGTTACAATTGTGGTAACACTGGCCATTTCATTAAGGATTGCCCCCACCCTAAGAAGACCGAGCATGCTAGTGTAGCTGTTGATAAATGTGACCTTGGTGATATTTTGATGGTTTGTGACCATGTTAATTCTGTGAGAAATTCCCTGTCTGAGCATGAATGGTTGATTGACTCTGGTTGTACCTATCACATGTCCCCCTTTAGAGATTTGTTTTCTACTTATGAGTTATGTGATAGTGGCTACGTTTCCTTAGCTGATAATAAGAGATGCAATGTGCTTGGTGTTGGTGATATATGTCTGAAGTTTTCTTGTGGCTCTGTGTTTACCATTAAGAATGTGAGGCATGTCCCTGATTTGTGTCATAACTTGTTATCTGTTGCTGCTTTGGAGAGTAGTGGGTTACAGGGAAAATGGGGGAATGGTTGTATGAAAATCCTGAAAAACTCGCTTGTTTTGTTTAAAGCTGAGAAGGTGAATAACCTTTATGTGTGCCATGCTAAACCTTTTGCTGAGTCTGTGAATGTTGTATGTTCTGATAAGACCTCTTTGTGGCATAATAGGCTAGGACATATGAGCAATAAGGGTTTAGATGTCATGCGTAGGGCTGGTTATTTTGGTAAGGACTCTGTGACTTCTGTGCCTTTCTGTGAATCATGTGTGTTAGGCAAGCAGCATAGAGTCAGTTTTCCTCCTTCCTCTTACCCTAATCTGTCTAAGTGTTCGTCTGTGCTTGAATATGTTCATGCCGATGTTTGGGGTCCTGCCAGTGTTCCTACCCACGGAGGTAGGAAATATTTCCTTTCTATCATTGATGATTTCTCTAGGAAGGTGTGGGTTTGCCTGTTAGAACACAAGTCTGATGTGTTTGTGAGGTTTAGGGAGTGGAAAACCCTAGTTGAAAACCAAACTGGCAGGAAGGTTAGGACCCTTAGGACCGATAATGGGTTAGAGTTCTGTAATAAGGAGATGGATAAGTTGTGTGTGGATTGTGGGATAAAAAGGCACAAAACTGTGCCTTATACTCCCCAACAGAATGGGATAGCAGAGAGAATGAATAGGTCTCTGTTGGATAAGGTTAGAAGCATGTTAGCTACCTCTGGTTTATCTAAGAAATTCTGGGGTGAAGCAGTCACTACTGCTGCCTATTTGATTAATAGGTCCCCGTCTGTCCCTCTTGGTGGTAAATGTCCTGAAACCGTCTTTACCGGTAAGCCTCTTGATCTGTCTAACCTTCGGGTGTTTGGTTGTGCAGCATATGCACATCAACAGGGTGACAAGTTGGATCCTAGGTCTAAGAAGTGTGTCTTCCTAGGTTATCCAGAGGGGGTAAAGGGTTACAGGTTATGGGATAGGAACCAGGTAGGCTTTAAAGTGGTCCTTAGCAGAAATGTGGTGTTTAATGAAACTGATTTTCCTTGCTTGACCAAGTCTGTTTCTGATCCTGAGTCTAGGTCTGATAGTACTCCTAGTGAGGTGGAGTCTGTCCCTGTTGCTGCTGGTCCTTTATCTGTTGATCCTGTTATTTCTGATGATATTGTTATGCATGATTCTGATTCCTCTGAGCATGATAGTCCCACCACCTCGAGTGAGGTGGAGCATTTGCATGATACTGAGCATGATTTGCATGATATGGGTGCTGAATCTGATTTTCATGATAACAATAATTTGCATGAGTTGCATGTGGAGCCTAGTAGTGATAATTTGCATGATTATCAACTTGCTAGAGATAGGAGTAGAAGGGCTATCAGGAGAACTGCTGATAGTATGCCTGATTATGCTTTCATTGTGCATGATACTTCTATGTTTGCATTTTCTGTGTTTGAGTCCCTAGAGCTGAATGAACCCAAGACCTACCGTGAAGCCTTAGGTTCCAAAGAGTCTCAGAAATGGATTAGTGCCATGAAAAGTGAGATGGACTCTTTGAGAGTGAACCAGACTTGGACCCTTGTACCTAGACCCCCCAACTGTTCGGTAGTTGAGTGTAAGTGGTTGTTTAAGGTTAAGGAAGAACCTAGTGATGTTAGGTTTAAGGCTAGGTTGGTTGCGAAGGGGTTTACTCAAAAAGAGGGGGTAGATTATGCAGAAATCTTTGCTCCTGTTGTTAAATTCACCACTATTCGTATGATGCTTGCTTTAGTTGCTCACCATGACTGGGAAATGAAACAGATGGATGTAACTACTGCATTTTTGCATGGTGAATTGGATAAAACAATTTATATGACCCAGCCTGAGGGCTTTGTGGATCCCAAGAGAAGTGAGCATGTCTGTTTGCTTAGGAAGGCATTGTATGGCCTGAAGCAATCCCCTAGGCAGTGGAACATCAAATTTGATAAATGCATGATATCTTTGAAGTTCCAAAAATCTGTTTGTGATCATTGCCTGTATTTCAAAAATACTTCTTCTGTGCCTGTATTTTTGTTACTCTATGTGGATGACATGCTGATAATTAGTCCTTCTCTGAATGCTATTAAAGATGTGCAGAAATGTCTTTGTGCGAATTTTGCCATGAAAGACCTAGGTGATGCCAAGAGGATCCTAGGCATAAACATTGTTAGGGATAGGAGTAAGCGTACTCTTACTTTGAATCAGATTTCTTACATAGAAAAAGTTTTGAGTAAATTTAATATGTTGTCTGCTTCTCCTGTTAATGTCCCTATGGCATCTCACTTTGTGTTAAGTAAGGACCAGTCTCCCAAGACTGCTCCTGAAATTGAGAAAATGAAATCTGTGCCTTATTCCAGTGCAATAGGGTCGGTGATGTATCTTATGGTTAGCACTAGACCTGATATTGCATATGCGGTTAGTTGCTTGAGTAGATATATGTCCAACCCTGGTTTGCCCCATTGGAATGCTCTTAAGTGGTTGCTTAGATATCTGATTTCTACTGTGAAGCATGGATTAATTTTCTCTAAATGTGCTAGTGGTATTGAATTGATTGGTTATGTTGATTCTAACTATGCAAATGATAGAGATAACAGGAAGTCGACCACTTCTTATGTTTTTACTTTGTGTGGCTCTTGCATTAGTTGGAAGTCTCAACTACAGCCTATTGTGGCCCTTTCTACCACTGAGTCCGAGTATGTTGCAGCCACAGAAGCGTTTAAGGAAGCCATCTGGCTCAAACGCCTTGTCTCCGAAATTGGGTTTCTCAAAAAGGGAGTTACCATTTTCTCGGATAGCCAATCGGCTATCCAACTTTGCAAAAATCCTGTATTTCATGATAGAACTAAGCATATTGATGTTAGGTTCCATTTCATACGTGATATTGTTGATGCAGGTGGAGTCAAGCTGTGCAAGATCCCGTCCGAGTTTAACCCCGCGGATATGGGTACCAAGTGTCTTTCTGCTGAGAAGCACTTGTCCTGTAAACGCGTGTTAAATTTTGACTGTGGATAACTGTGGGTTGCCTAATAAAGTGTTTGCCCGTTGTGTCTGTTGACATTCCGGGTGACCCGGCGATGATGAGTCTTGTCACAACTTTGTATTGTTACTCTACACCACCTAGGACCAATAAGGTGGAGAATGTTGGAGGTATTGGTCCTACCAAGGCCTCCCTTCCACTTTATTTGTTGAGGCTTGCACACTCTATTTCACTCTCTCTGGGATATCTTTACTGTGGTATATATCCTGATCAAATATATACCTATTTTGAGGGTTGACTTACCCACTTGGCTGGCCCCTCCTTTGTTGTTGTCCGCTGCATTATATGTCCTTGCTTCTCGTGAGTGTCTTTTGTCTTAGCACTCACCCGTGACTTCCAGTTGGCCTTTGCCTATTATTTAGGAGCCTTGGCTCCCTCTTCTGTGAGTAGCCTGCGTGAGAAAATAATCCAGAGAGAGCAGTGCTCCCTTCTTCTTCCTTTCCTTTGTGTGAGAGTGTAGAGAGGTCCTTAGTGGAGAGTAGAGAGTTGTGTGCTATAGCCTCCTCTTAGTGTGGTGTGTGAGAGTGTGTTGAAAGACCTGAGCCGGAGACGGAAATAAACGGTCCTTACAAGAACCATGACTACAAACATGAGCTTTGCTAGTCTCAACACTTCTTCATGAGCTTCCTTTTTCAAAGCTTCATCTGTGTGCTTCAAATTTTTGCATAATTGCACAAATCTTTCTTGAACTGCGTCATAGCTTACAATTCCATCAAAGTGTTTCTCAATGAATTCAGATTTCGCATCCTCATCACAATTCTCTTCATAACTCTCCACATCAAGGGAGCTACAGTTAAGCCCACTAATCAAAGCAAACTCTGTGATAGAGTAGCGGATTGGCACTCCATTCACGGCAAACCAAGCACCCAAATTCCTTTCAATTGTGGCTATTTTGGACAACATTGGCCACAACAATGATGGAACAGGGATGAAATTAATATCCAAATATGCACCAAAAACACATCTTCTAAATGCATACATTATCTCTGGAAATTCTTTAAGCCATTTTTTCATTATCTTTTGAAAAGCCTTCAATGCGTTCCTTATAGTTATCTTCATTGTGGGAAAACTTGAGTCGTCAACTAATGGAGACAAGGAAGGGACCTTCATGATAAATAAAAAGTAATTAAGTACCGGTCAACTAAAAACAATTTGAACAACGTTGAACAATAAAAAATAAATTAACAAACTTTAAAATAAAAAATTAAATAATTATGAATGACCCCCTCTACATTTACAAAATAATCAAACAAAAATTACTAAAGATAAATCCTTTCCCTTAATGGTTGACTAAGTTTACATCGAGAACTCAGAGATTTCGAATGAGCAAAGTATCTACTAGGAATTCTCAAGTTAATCCAACATAAAAACCATAAGTAAAATTTACCTGAATATCATATTCTGCTTCAGACACATGCGTAACAACTGATGCCTGTACAACTATCCCACTTGCTTGACTTTTCTCTAAAGAAATAGTAGGACGTTTAGACATGGTAAAGGAAGGAGATGGAAGAATGCTACTCTCTGGTGGCTGTTGTTGAAGGAGAAAACGAAACCGAGCTCTGTACGAAGGAAGTGGAAGAACTGAAAGGTTGTACGGGGAGTCTGAAGTTCAAGATGTTTGCGCCAAGGTGTTTGTCATTTTTTTAAATTCGAAATTGTCTTTTACTAGTACCTGTTGATGTACTTTGTTTTTGAATCTATATGCTACGGTTTTGTTTGCAAACAATTAATATAAGTACTTTTGGTTTTTTTAAGAAAAAAGTACTTATTTTATCAAACAATACCAATTTTTACTTTCTCGTTTTTCGTGTAGAATCTACTTTTTACTTTTTCTTTTACACAAAAAACACTTATTTTACAAAACACTACCAACTTTTACTACTAACTACTTTTTCCCAAAAAGTGCTTTTATTTAAGCACAATCACTTTCAAACAGAGTCTACATAAATTCTAAATGCTTCAAGTTTACACATTTACTCGTAGGGCCGGATCCTAAAAATTGAAAATTGAAAACCAAATCAAATTATATCGAATTGTAGCCAAATAAAATTGAATCGCTTACAAATCAAAACCGAATGTAAAAACCGAACCGAATCGTAGTTGTTTGGTTAGGTTTTGGGTTTTAACCTTCAAAACCGAACCGAACAAACCGAACTAATTAAAATATATTCCGTAAAATTTATTTGTCAATTCTTAAGCATTAATCCTAACTAATCCTAATATCATTAATAGTATATGATTTTCTTGTGTTAGAGAAATAATGTTTGTGTTATGTTTAGTTTAGTTTAGTTTATAAATTCATTTACACATTCATTGCCTGTAATAATGTAGCTATACTGAATGATGATAATATGTTTTTACTTGTTATTAGTATTAATTAACTTTTATTTTTATTTAACTTAAATAATTCATATTGATGAAACCATAAATATTCATGTCAACTATATCACATAGAACGTATATACTCATGAACTTTTTTGAATCAGTCACAAACAATGTAAATTAATACTGTAATACATATACTTTTATCTCTCTCGCATATACTCATATAATTCAAGACATATTTATTTATTTTCATTTTTATTTTATTTGTTGTAGTGTGCGTGCATTCTTTATGTAATATGTTTGATCCTCAAAGTATTATATTATATCAATTTTAAATCAAATCATAATATTTTGGTAAAAACTTGAAAAAACCGAAACCGAATCGAAACAAACCGAACAAATCAAACCGTGATTCCAAGTTTTGGAGTGTAAAACCAGGGGCGGATCCAAATATTTGATATGCCCTGGGCTGAATAGAAATTATACTAGGTTTAAATATTAGAGGAGGGGACAAAATTTGAAAAATGAAAAAATGGGGATGTTCGCCAAAGTTTCATTTGTTTGCAACTTTGGCGATCAACAGCCAGTAATAAATTACAGGGACGACTAGATTAAAGTTGAGTAATATATATTCATTCTAGAGGCTCATGATAATTGAGAGAATGATATATATTCTATTTGGTCTGGTAAATGAAATTTCATTAAAACTGCCTGAGAATTACAACTTTTGGCATCAAGTGTACACTTTAAGACATAAAAGGATGACCTCCCACATGAGTGAGGTCACCCCACAAAATTATACACTCTAGATAGCCTTGGAGTGGCCGGTGTGATAGGGAAGCATGGGGAGGTGTTTGAAGTGAAGGTTATGGCATCAAATAAAACACGGTGGCCAATCCACATCAAACAAGAGAGATGGACTCTCAAATCATCTTCTCCATTGTTAGTAGCAAGCTCAAACAAGGAAAAGGTTGTACAACATGTTTAGAGGTGTAGAATGGAGGGTTGGAAGGTGGTTCTAAATCCAAGAACAGATTTAAAAGTCAAAAGTTACCAGTTCACTGAAGAATAACCTTTTTGAGGTTATTTGTATTGATTTAGGTTTTGGGATGATGAAACCTTGTCAGTGACTTGTCAAGGTATTTCTAGTGTTCTCACGGAGATGAGGAAGTTGCTGGAGGTATATCCGGAGTTCACCAAAGTTCGCCGGAGTTTCACCAGAGGCCAACTAGAGGGATAAAACTTCTTAAAGCTCATTTAAGGCGAATCGGGTTTTACCAGATTTAATGTCTTATAACTCTTGGGAGTGTACAACATGCATGGTTTGCATGGGCTATTGTGTTTAAGTGTTAAGACTTGGACTAGTCTTTATTTATGATATGATGTAGACCATAGTCAAGTAAGGTATATGGTTGATCATAGGTTTAGGTAGAGTACCCCGGGGCAAGACGGTGTCCTTAAAACTCATAGGTTTGGGTGGAGTACCCTGGGATCCGACGGTGTCCTTAAAACTCGGAAATCATGAGTGGAGTACCTAGAGTCGGGCGGTGTCCTCAAACTTGGGAATTGGATGGAGTACCCTGAGATCGGGTGGTATCCTTAAAACTTATAATTACCGGGAGAGTGGGCTGATGGCTGAGTAAGACTATCTTTTTTTAAGTAGAAATTTATTAAAATTTTAGTACGAAGAGTACAAAATGATGATGAAAGAAACAAAAATGCTATGCTACGCTAATGAGTGAACAATCTAAAAGCCCCGCAAATCCCTAAAGTAAAAAAGATTAGCTTCCCGTCAAGTTGTATTGAGTTGCTTGAAAGAGATGAAATCCCTAAAATATCCAAAAGCTAAATCAGTAAATATAGAAGCAACCCTATGTTTCAGCCAAATTTTTAGCCTTGAGACGAGCACTCCGTCGAGGTAGCAATCTAGAACTGGCTGAGTCCCATTCAGTATCAACAACACGGTCTAGTAATCCACGATCAGAACTGGCTGAGTAAGACTATCAACACTCAATGGTATAATAAACCCTAGGTTATAGCAGGAGAGCTAAATACCGAGTTGGATATGGGGACGGGAAAGTCAAGAACTAAGTCCGCCATGATTTTGTTGTTGTTTTTGTTATTGTAATCAAATGACCTATAGGTCAGGTATTTTCCAAGTGTCTATACTTATTTGTATTCAAAGAGTTGGAGAAACTATATGTTTATGTACCACAAATGTTTGGATCTTATACTTAAATGTTAGTTATTCTACATTTAGCTTGCGTCTCGCCAGTACGAGTGTACTGATCACTTGTTATCCGCACCTTTGCACGGGTAAAGTGATCTCAAAGAAGACATGATTCGTATGTCCTTGATTAATTTAAGGATTATAACAAAGCTCATGAATATTTGTACTTGAAATACTTTATTTTGGGCGTGTAAGCTAACATTTTGTCGTATGTGGCGTATGATCAAACATCGAATATTTCCGCTCTTCATTTGGTTTAAATATTGATATCGTTATGTATGTTTACTTACTAGTATTTTGTGCAACTAGTTAATCCACCCGTGCGTTGCACGGGAGTGAAACGCATGAGAGTGAAGTACTGTATAGAAGTTTAGATGCATTTAATAAAAGTAAATAATAATAATGAATTAATTAGTTGATCACCTTTAAAATTAAGGTGTTGGGTAATTCATATTGAATTGAAAATTAACAAATAATGCTCGAATGGATACACTCCTCGTGTTCTTTTTTGTTGTAAAGTTTTCAATTTCATGTTTCCCAACACACAATTATAAGTATCAATGTATTTCATTCGTTATTGGTGAAAATTTTAAAAAGTACATTTTGACAATTTAACATGAGGGTAGTTTAATAGTATTTTTCAGAAATTAAAATTTTAATACATTAATAAAAAAATATTAAATAAAATAGATAAAAGTAGAACATGTGCATAGTGTAAAACTAAACATGTTGCAACCATTTAAAACCATTTAAGAACAGAGAAACACGTAAAGAACCATCATTCTATTTGTCTTTTTTTAATTGATCTCAAGATGACAATCCGTGTTTCTTTTGCATAATTGACCGTAAAATGAAATTTACAATGTAAATGGTTGCTACGAAATTGGAAACTCTTGGCTATTTTTATTTTTTTCTACACTTCCTCAAAGTGCAAACAACATAAACATCAACAAAGGAAAAGCCCATGGAATTATCACAAATTCAATGTGGAAAGTGCATATAATAGAAATACATTTAAGCACCAAAGTGAGGCAAGCTTTGACTTAGGTGTATCTAAAGCATGATTCCCATGTTTATCAAATTAGCCATACACAATCAACGCTTTGAATCCTAAATCAGAACACAGTTCAGAAGAAGAATGTAAGATTGGTGACACAAACATAGCTTCAAATTAAAGACATTCTAATATAATTTGGGCAGCCTAGATTAGTGATGCTTGAATGGAACAAATGAGGCAGAAATGGTATCTTTGCATCTGACTTTCAAGGTGGCGTTGTCTAACCACATTTTTTCAGGAGTACCAACCAATCTTCAAGTAAACTTAGATGCTGCAAAAAGTTAATAAAATAGATATCAATCAGCTAATACATTAAAAACCCTCATAGAGCCCGTTTGGTAGCACGAAAATTGACTGATTTGGCTGATTCTGCTGAAAATTATAAAATTCTGGCTGAAATGGCTGCATTGGCTGATTTAAGAAAAAAATTATTTCCAAAATATATATTATTAATAAAATAAAGAACAAAATATATGTAAAAATAGCTAAAAAGATCATCTACAGTAACTTCAGCCAATATGGCCAGAAAAGTAACTACAACCTTACTTTTTCTGCTTATTACACAATTAAGCGCGCGAAAGCAAAAATTACGTGTTTGGTGAAAAAGTTGGCTGATAAGCCTGATAAGCAGAAAAAAGTGTTTCCAAACGGCACCATAGTCTAATAGCAAAAAAGGCCAATACATTAGAAATAGTCATAGCCTAATAGCTAGAAATAATATCCTCATAGTTAATTAGGATTTGAGTTTAAAATTTGACTGTAAAAGCCATATTAGCTATTCCTATAATAGCTATATAGAAATTTCAATCTTCATAGAATCACAATGCTTAGACTCTACTTAATTAGGATTTGAGTTTCCCTCCTAAATCCTCACCCCCTCCATGGCTCCATCTATGTTATCATTAGTTTTCTTAAATCACCTATTTTATTTTAAAAACTTGTTTTTTATATTGACATGAAAGAATGTTCAAGCAACCAACCTAGGAAAAAATAATAGGAATAATAAGCCAGTTACTTCTCTGATTCAACCGTTTATGCATAGGTAGTGTGGTACCGGTTAACCTCTTAAATTATATAAAATGTCGAAACTTCAAAAAGCTC